GCCTTCATTTATTCTATTAATGGTGAGATTTATTTTTGTTTTGAGCTCTTAACTATTGCCAGTTTAATTGCTGGACAAAGTAAAAGCTTTTTTCCTACTTATAATTACTGAGTCAGCATTTAAAAATTTGTTTTGTCGCTCTAGCCTCTACTTTATCATTTTATCAGGGTCGTCTTACTGACGGCTGGTATGAAATTGGCTTTTTGCCGGATCCCTTCCTCTGTCAGGCAATTCGAAATGGTCGCCTTCGAGTTGGAACCAAGGTGATGACTGCCGGCTCAGATTTAATTAATGATCCAACTATGGCTACTAGATGTCCTGGAAATCAATGGGAATCGGGTATGTTCAAGGTCATGATTTCCCACACATCTGTTTTAGGATTGTATTCTATTGCATATTCTGTTATTTTCGTCAAAAAATTATGTGTCAAATGGCTTGGCCTAAGAGCTTAGTTCAGATTTTGATCTTTCTTTTTTCAAAGTCCTTCGGCACGAATTCTTAACCTCTTCGCCTTCACTTAAGATAATTTAAGGATTGAAATTAAGTTATTGTAACTTTTTAGATTTAAATATTTGTCTTAAATTTAAACAGAACATCCATTATATTAAATTATACCAGCAGCATTTAACTGCTAATCTATGCATATTTACTCATTTATGGCGCTAAAATCACGAGCAATTTCTTTGGTTTTCCTATTATGAATAGAATTTTCGACTTGTGAATGTATAGCCTACACATTTTGTTCGTGTACCTTCGTCTGTAGCATTGTACAAGCGTATTGAGGTCATCTTTTATTATAATGAGCTTGGCTTATTGAGCTCTTGCTTTTTCATTAAATTAAATTAAAGCTTGACAGAGCACCACATTTTTTGTATAAATTGACTCATTTACTAATTGTTGTTTTTGCACTATACCCATTTTTATTTTGCATTTCAAATGCCCATATTATCAGCTTATCGAACATTAACGAGTGAGTGCATACACTTTGTTTATTTTTTTGCCTTACAACATGTTATATTAGAATCTTTCATGTCCAGCTTTGGACGGAAGTGCATTTTCGATCACCTATTGGGCGCTGCCGAGGAGGGAGTCTGCCTGCGCATTCACGGCAACTCAACTCGTAGAGTCCATCCCAACTCACGCCTTGGTTTTTTCACATTTATCAGTTCTTTTAACCTGGCCCATTTGCCATCTGTCCCTCTTTCTAGTCTTTCTCCTTCTGGGGGATCAGTGTCTAAAATCACCGTTCTAATTCAAGTTAGTTTCCATCTCTTTATCGTTAAAATCGTTTTTTATGAGGCTAATGTTATCATTACCATACTGATACTTCTTATTTATTTATAGCTGTTCTATTCTTCCTTGATACCATCATATAATCATTTTGCATTTCATAGGTCTTCGACTTTAATCGTATCAAACTTATTATTTTAAGATTCCTACTTGATATTCATTTTTATCACGCTTTTGGATTAATTTAAATCCTAATTGATCACAAATTTCTTCGAATTATTTTTTTTTCAACACATGAAGTAGTCGAGAGCTAAGGCAAATAGTAGGGATTAGTTGATTTTTGGACCGGTATGATTCTCAAAGTAAAAAAGTCGCGCCACCTAACTTCAATTTGTGCACTTCTTAAGAATCATCACTAATATTATACTCACTTTGGAATTGCTATATGTTAAGTTTGTCGTATTTCCTATAATTATAAACACTTGTGGAAGTTTATTCCTGGATTCTTCTACTTGAAAATTATAATTTCCTATTATTTTAGGCGGTTATCAGATCCGCTCAGTTGATTTTCACCGGCAGGGTTGAGCCTGATCTAAATTCACCACGTTTTTTCATGTTCGTTGCTACTATAGTTCTCATTTAACGTCATTCTTCATACAAAAATCAAAGGAAGATTTATTTACCCTTAGTTACTTTTGTTGGGCAAGCCATAATTAATATTAATAAGGTATAAATCATCTCATAAATTTTAAG